GATGAGCATTGCTGCAGAGGAATATATATATATATATATATATGTAAAAGGGAAGAGATGGATGAAATAGCACATTAAATTTAAATAAATAAATAATTGTAATATGATTTGATATGTTTTTTCATAAATGTGTAATAAAGTCACTTCCTTTGGTTTCTTAATGAGATTTGTTTTAGAACCATACACAGGGATACCAAAATCTATGAATGCACAAGTCCCTTATACAAAATTGTGTACTATTTGCATATTAACTAGACAGATCTTCCTATATACTTTAAATCATCTCCATATTACTAATAATACCCAATATAATACAAAAGCTAGGTACATAAGTGTTATATTATGCTATTTAGGAACTAAGGAAAATAAAAAGAGTCTGCATGCTCAGTACAGATGCAATTTTTTTTTCAAGTATTTTTGATCCATGGTTAGTTGAATGCACAGATGTGGAAACTGCATACAGTGGGCTAACTATATTTACAAAGTAATTTAATCAATATAAGATTTAACTTTTTAACTTTTGAAGTTAAAATTATATATTCATAGCTTTTTCTTTTTTTAAAAAAAAAACCTATCTGCAGTCTAGATGTCTCCTGTTTTGACACTGTAGTCCTCTTGATCATCAAATGTTCCTCCTGCTACTTTTCAAATACTTTATTGACCTGCTTCATTCAGGTCTTTGGTTTCTTCTCTAGCTCATTATCCTGGAGGAAGTTCTGCCATTCCTCTGACCTCTCCTGTATGCTGTTTCCGTAAGCCTGGAAAACCTGAAAGAGGACAATAGGACTGGCGACTCTCTACCTGGATACCCTGGAACTTTGTTGTTCCCTTAGGAGAGGTGGCTTCATGGCTTCTATACCTTGTCTTTGCTAGGGAGACCTAGCATCATCTCCATTTATCAGTATGGATATCTTTATTAAACAAAGAATACTATTACAGCTAAAATGGCTTGAAGCTATAGTTGAATTGCCTTTGACTTTTACAGCCTATTTCAGGAAGGTGTAGTTCAAAGCAAAGTCACATGAATCATTAACAGAATGCTATAGTTTGGATTTTGAATGTCCCCCAAAGTATCATGTATTAAGAATTTGGTCCCTAGTGAGGTGCTATTAGGAAGTGGTAGAATATTTGAGAGGTAAGGATAATGGGGTGTCTTTAGGTAATTGGGGGCATGCCCTTAAAGGCTATTGTAGGACCTTGCCCCATCCTCTTCCTCTTTTGCTCTCTGTTCATGGGGTAAGTGGTTTTGCTCTGCCTTGTGTTCCCACCATAATGTACTGCCATGTCATCAGACCAAAAGCAACAGAGCCAATTGATCCTGGTCTGAAACCTCTGAAATTGGAGCAAAATAAAACTTCTCTCTATAACTTATCTCAGGCATTTTCTTATAGTGATGAAAAGTTGACTAACACAGAGTCAAACATTTTATACAATATTCTTAAATTTTTTTAAAAAAAGTATTTAGGCTTTTCAATCAATACTGAAAGTTACTTTACTAGAGCGGAGTTGTTTTTCTTTTAAAAAAGCACAGTGAAGAAAATCAAGATATATTGCTACCTCATCGTCATAACCTAAAACTAATTTTTCCATCTTTACTACATTATAGACTTAGTATGTATCCATTTATATTTATTTTCATATACTTTTTATTTTCAGATGTAATAGATATAATCAAATGACAATGACTACCATGATGATGATGATGGCTGTCTGTGTTTATATTCCCAAAGTGTGAGTAGAAAAGAAGCTAAACCTGGGTAGTTTTAGTCTCACCTACAGTTCAGGGGTGAAGAAGAAAATCTGTTTTTCAATGACAATTGTTTGTGTTGAATCTGGATATTTTCCTAATAATCAGAAGAGTTAGGCTGTTATAAAATTATTAAACAGACTTCACAGCTGAGACATTTCTGCATTCTGAACTCAGGCAGCTCGTTCTTCTAAACTGACTGCAGTTGATAGTTGATGTAGATTTCCCTGGGAAGGGGAAGCTCACAGAGGGCCCATGCCCTGAGAAGAACAGCCAATGCATACAAAGATACCCACAATTTAATTATTTGAATGATGAGTTTCTATGCAAAATGTATCATAAATAAAATAATAGTATAAGCATTAGAATTAAAAATCACTTTTTTGGACAGAAGACTAAAAAA